CACCAGTGTATTGGTTGTCATAGGTTACATTACACCAGTGTATTGGTTGTCATAGGTTACATTACACCAGTGTATTGGTTGTCATAGGTTACATTACACCAGTGTATTGGTCTGTTGTCTGTGAAAACATAATATGATTCTGTTTACTGTTTCTATGATCATGTTTTTGAGGCTGTGAGGTATTGAGTCAACTTTCTTTTTCTGTTAATGTTGTTTTCTGTTATCAGGAGGGAGGGTTGTTTCTACTTAGTAAAATAATGTGTTGTTGTGGCTGAACCTCAAAGGGAAAGATACGGAGAGTGAGTGAGAGGCAAAGAGAATAAAATAGAGAGCCACATTGAAAGGTTGAAATTCATGGAAAAGATGAAATGTATGTTATATAGACAAAATGGAGAATGAATTCATGTGTGCTTGCATTTGTGCCGGGTGTGGGTGTGTGTGTTTTACTGATAGAAAGATGAAAGTGAAAACAGGCAGGGGGTATCCATCTAGCCAAACAAGCATCAAGACAGATGAGCAAACAGCCAGACAAACAAACAGCCAGACAAACAAACAGCCAGACAAGCGAACAGCCAGTGGGCCGGCAGCCTACAACAACTGTTGTTGAAAGTAGACTTTGTGCCTACATTACATTTCACTGGTTAGGTTAAGATTGGCCAAAAAGGTTGTTGGCTTGACTTATAATGTGCTGGATTATGATGAGCTGGTTTACATATATATATAATATATACAATGCGACGACTTATGTTGTGATATGAAGAGAGAGCAAATACAAGTCGAGGAACAGTATTGCACTTATCAGCATTATTTACTGCCTGGAGAGAGAGAGAGAGAGAGAGAGAGAGAGAGAGAGAGAGAGAGAGAGAGAGAGAGGGAGAGTGAGTCTGTAACATAACTGCCGAAATGTCTGAACGATAAATTATATTGATATTCTATGGGAAGAAGCTTTTCCCAGGAAATGCTTTTTCTTTTCTTCCTTTTTTATTGAGTTTTTTTGTTTGTTTGTTGTTTGTTTTTGTTTTGTTTTTTGGGGGTGGGGGTTTATTCATATATTTATTGAGTTTTCTTCTTTTTTTTTTCTCTAGAAGCATATTTTCAGAAATCCATTACATTTATAAGAGCTACCTTTGTGAAATGTTGTTGAAAACATTGCTGGGCTTTGAACAAATCAGATGTGCTCGGACCATTTCTATTGGGGGCTCAGAAAAATACATTTCTGTCTGATTAAATTAATCTTTTTTTTTTATCCCTATAATTTATTTTTTTAAAGCTCTGTTTATTGTTTGTAATAATTGTGATGCCCACCATTCCTTCCCATCACAGTGCTCGCACTCATCCCCTCTCCTTTCCCTTAAATGAGATAGGACCTGTTATTTCTTAATGTCAATTAAGACAAGATGTTTTAAATTGTTAACAGGATGACTTTTTTTTCTGCTTGTGCTCATCCTTGAAGCGGATAAAAGTCAAGCCCTGATATACCGCCAACATGAGGTCAAGCGTAAAGTGAGCGGTATAGCGGGGCATGTTGTTTAATGGGGTTTTCTCCCTATTTCTGACAAGGGGTCTACTTGACTCTACTTGGGATCCAGAGAAATGCAGCTATTTTTTTAAGTGACCTGGGCAAGAAGGAGGGGTGGGGGGAGGGGGTTGTGAGTGATGTTGATTGCGATGTAAAAACTGGTAAGGGCTTAGATTCAAAGCTATGACCCTCTAGCATCATGAGGTGAAGAGTCTAACCCTTACCCCTGTTATGAATCTTCACTATATTCGAGTATAAGTATCGAATATCATGACAACCCCGTCGCAGACATCTTAAATACGATACACTCGACCTGGGCCTATTCCTCTCTACTGTTCAACATTCACGTTTTGTTTTTGCTATCCGAAGTATGGCAGAACCATTTGAATGCTGTGTGACTTTTTTTTTTTTTACGGTTAATGGATTTTTGTCTCTTTTTTCACAACCCATCATAAAGGTAGACCACACTAAACCTGAAATCATTGAGGTAAATACAGCAATATTTTGTACTTAATAATTATGAAATAGAGTGATAATTGAAGCAAATGTCAATGATAACTTACATGTATAAGCCTATATCATGTACGTGTTCGAAAAACCCCCACACATTTGCACAAGTATTCAATAGCACTTATAGTAACTTCACACTTCGAAGTGTCCGTAAATTTTCGTCTCTACAAAATGTGAGGCATAGTGGTGAAATCCGGCGCTTGTCAAAATAATGAAATCGACAAAGGCCTTTTCTCACCAGTTTGGAAATTTTAATCAAGATTTTATTGGGGGGCTCAACACCCCACCACCTTCAATCACTAATATTTTGACTTCTATTCAACATAGATGGGTATTTTTTTCATTGAAAGTGAGACAAATGAATGAACATTCAGATGGTAACAATAACTCCACATGCCCAAAAATTGACGAGCGTCTGATTCCACCGCGTTGTGGCACAAATAACACGCCACCACCATAGACCATAGAAAAAGATGTGAGGCAGCATGGCGGAATCAGGCTCTCGTCAAATAATCAAAGTGAAGAAACTTGCATTTTTCCGCAGGCTTGTGAATTTTTATCAAATTTTTGTTTTTTGGCTCAACACCTTTCATGCCCATTAAAGAACTCATTTTCGTGTGGATTTTTCTTTAAAACGTTGATTAAAGGCACAAAAAATGTAAATTTTCAGTTACTACGGACTCTTAAGCTAAGGAAATAACTAATCTTTGGCGGCCATTTTCTCACTTATTTTACCTCTGAAAACAGGTGACCCCCACTTCATTGATTTGCAAATATCTCGACTTGTATTCAATATAAATGGATATTTTTTTTCATCCAAATAAAGACAAGTGAACACACTTTATGATGATACCAATAACTCTACATGCCCAAAAATTGACGAGAGCCTGATTCCACCTCGCTGCCTCACAGATGATGTGTGAATATTGCGTGTGTGAGAACTTGCCTATTGAGACCCGGTCCAATAATCATGTTGTAGTCGGCTTCTACTCACATTCCTGGGTTTTTTTCTACAGGAAATTAATTCAAATTGAATGTTTAAAATTTATTTATTTCATTTGTAAGTAAATCTCTATTATTCTGATGTATTTCTACTGGATGTGCCTTCTTGTGCAACTTTTCTAATGTTTATGTGGATTATTTCCCTTTTGAATGTCATGTCATTCCATTCATAACACAATTACACTAAATCAGTGTTTATGGATTTTTTTACCCAAGGTTTTTATTTATTTATTGGGAGGGCAAAATGTTTGCCGCTCGTTTTACATCTTAAAAAGAGCAGGGTTTTGATTCATGTAGGCCTACTTAAAATCCAAATATTGAGACATTTTCCACCATTTTTCAAGTCATGAAGTTGACTTACGTTTAGCTTATGTACAGACAGTAGGAACACATACTTCAGTATGTTCCTTTATCAAAAAGAGGCTCTGCCTATCATTTTTTATATTGCGAGTTTGACTAATGTAGAGTACCATTTTTTTTTTTGTAATGGGAGTCTAACTCACATACCGTACTCTCTTATTGTGATCTTTCCTCAAAACAGCTATCAGTGATCTAGGCCATTGTGTTACGACTGTGTTCCTTTGAATGTCATATTTTGTGATGTAACCTATAGATACGTATCTCTGCCCCTCGGGACCATCCTAACTTACACTATTGCAATCATTGTTTTCAGATGGTTACCTTTTTTTCACTTTGGAATTAGACAATCTAACTTTGGACTCTTTGTTGGTCGTCGTAATAATTGTTATCATTTGATAAATCAGTTCTATAGCGCCCACTCCCTGGTGGCTCCACGCGCTGCACAATGAAATAAAATTTCAACAGCTTTCATATAATTTTAAAAAATATATATATATATAATATTGTATGCATACTGCTCCATTCAATGTATAACAATCCGATCAAAAACATTTGCATTTTGTCATGTTTGGAGGTATTAATGTTGCTTCGCTCTGAGGACATGTAAAGCTGGGTGGCGTCTGCGTGCGTGTGACAGTGAAAGGAATTATCGGGACTTGTTACGATGAAACTGAGAAGGTATTGTGTACATGGTGTCTAACTGTTGTCCTAACACAGAGCACTATTGCAGTATCCTGTATTATTTCAAGCTGTACATAGCTAACCATTTTTTTTCTGTTTATAAGAACAGACCGAACGCTCAGATAGGTATGACATTTCTTTCTTAATCATCATCATCATCATCATCATCATCATCATCATCATCATCATCATCATCATCATCATCATCATCATCATCACCATTCATGACAGTGACGTGTAATGACCGTTCATTGCTTATATCATCCTTTCAAGTACCTTGTACTTCATGTTTACCATTATATGATCATTTCTATCTTTGTTGTGGTTTTTACTATTTGATGTAATGTTAATACTATTGGTCGTATTGTTATGATCTGTGTTATTATTAATATATTATTGTGATATATCATTGTGATATCATTATCAGTGGTCATTTTTTTTACATATTATTTACCGTTTTTGTTACTATTAACATTATTTTAGTCCTATTTCGGAATAGTTTATTGTCATTTTTTAAAATGATTTTAAAAATTATTGTTAACGTCAATGTTTTTTTTGGTATCATACGACTGTTTCTTTTCCCCTACAACGTTTTCTCGTAACCGTAGCCTTTGAGAGGTCTGAACAAACTCAGGTCTTGACATCTCTTCATGTTTTCTACTTCTTATATATCTATCTAAACACCATTGTGATAATGTGAGGATTTATGGAGGAGCTCTCATTGTCATGTTTTCTTTGAAAGACCTTTGTGTAAAAAATGTAAGTGTATTATGGTGGGTTGGACACCCCTATCAACACTGCTAGCTTATTGAATCTAAGAGGCAGGACCTCTGAATTTAACGTCGGTCTCTCCGATAGGACTGAGCATTAAATGGGTCGGTGAGAGCCTTGAAAACCCCACAAAACAACATACGCTCAAGTCCAAAGGTCCACTTTGAAATTTTCAATCAGGCCCACTTTGAATTTAAACCAGGACCGGCAGTACTGTAGTCCAGCATGATGCCAACTGAGCTAGATCTAATAACAGAGCACCTGAGATTATTCTGATAGTGTGAGGATTTGTTGAGCAGCTGCCTCTGCCAGAACCAACTCTCTCCTCTACAATGACCGGATGTGTTATCAGGTTGTACACTCTCTCCTCTACAATGACCGGCTGTGTTATCAAGTTGTACACTCTCTCCTCTACAATGACCGGCTGTGTTATCAAGTTGTACACTCTCTCCTCTACAATGACCGGGTGTGTTATCAGGTTGTACACTCTCTCCTCTACAATGACCGGGTGTGTTATCAGGTTGTACACTCTCTCCTCTACAATGACCAGATGTGTTATCAAGTTGTACTTACTGACACACTGATGCACCATTTCATCAGCATTTTGAGTCGCTCAAGTCTACGTGTACATGAAGGAATTCATGTGCAAATAAAACATTGTTCACATCCTTGTCTTCATGTCAGTCAGTTTCTGTTAGGTATGCCCGCTGTGGGTGGTTGGAAGGTGCTTGGGTATGGTTTGCTCATTCTTTCTATCAAACTTATCATCCTGATATGTCCTCCTTTTTTATATTTGTTTGTCACTGTACTCTCTTTTAGCTCCTCTAATGTTTAATGTCCGACACTTATTTATTATGACCTTATTGTGTTGCAAATGCCGTAAAACTCTTTTTAAAGCATAACAAAAGACCTTGCCTCAGAAACACATGTAGATTTTTTAGGTGATCAGTGGAATGATTCTTTCCTATTTTCCAAGATCTTTTGCTGGCTATGGCCGGGTACCCATTCATACCTGGGTGGAATTATAAAAATTTGTATAAAGTAAAGTGCCTTTCGCCCCTGCAGGTGGGGGGCCCCATAGTTTTACAATGGGGGAGTAAAGAATCCACCTGCCGTGATACTGGGCGTCGTAAGAGGCGACTAAAGGTGCATAGGTCTGGTCACCTGAAAAGTGACAGTTTGCGGAGGGCAACTTCCCGACCCAGTAAGAAAGGAAAGTTATAGAAACACGAACAAACATGCCTTATAATTTTTCCATCTTGGGAGATGGAGGAGCTTCTGCATCAGCAGGAACAATGAAGGACAGTGGACAAAGCCGAAAGGAGAGTCACGGAAATGGATGTACAGAAAAGTGGGAAGACGTGGAGTGACATCAAGCGACTAGCCCAGAATAGGGAAAGGTGGAGAGTGTTTGTTCGAGGCCTATATCCTGATCCAGGGTGAGAAATGCAATGATGATGATGAAAGTGCCTTTCCCAAGGACATAAATGTCGGACCTGAGGCTCGAACTCCCGAACCCACAAACTTACAATTACGAGTCCGGTAGCCTAACCACTAGATCTAGTATTAAGGAAGAAAACCAAACAGTTGACAGGAAGGTAAAGAAAGAAAGATGGTAATAGATTGAGCTCACGTTAAGTAAGTCAGTACATAAAATACATACAAGTACATAACAAGACAAAACCTAAAAGATGAAATCCCCAGGGGAGAAGGAAGAGAACAAGGCCAAGATCCACCTGGAAACAATATCCGAGGCCAATCTCAGGCACGTTTCGCTGGAGGTGGAGAAGATGGCCCAGAACTACAGAATTCTATAAATACATGTATATAAGAGAAGAATTCTGTGCCCAGAGCAGAGACAGCAGATGGAGAGCCCAAATCTTGGTGGCCAGAGTGAAAGAAACCCATGATCATCATCATTTTTACATGAACTGAGTTCAGAAGGATAGCCCTCAC